ATCTGCAGTTAAAGAATTTCAGATAGCAGGACTGGAAGGTTGTCTGTGTCTTATCTAGGGGAGAGCCCCTGCCTGTCGAGGTGGACTCTCCACCTGAGGCCTGGCAGTCTAGGGCAGTTTCCTTTGTTGCTCTTAAGAGACTCCAACTGCAGGAGGCTTCTCTGCCAAGCTGCTCCAAATGACCAGGTTCTGCTTCACTGCTCAGTGTGATAGTCCAATGCTGTGTGTCTCATCGCAAGGGGATTAGAACCCAAAGCACTCCTTTATCAGCAGTTCTAAGTGCCGCCTGCATATAGAAAGTGGGGATGACTCATGTCCCTCCCACAGGGTCCAGTGGGAGGAAGGTTCACAAGCTTCAGTCTCACGGGGGAATTGTTTTCATAGGCTGCCAAGTTCTAGCTGTATTTAAGTCAGAGTCTCTCCTGCCCCAAGGTATATAATGGAGACCCAGTTGATGAAGGCCTCTGATCCATGGTTTTCCTTGTTCCCAAGAAAGATAGAGGTGCAAAGCACATTTAAATCTCTGGCACCTAAAGAATTCTAAACAAATTTGAGCTCTTTTAAGTACCTTGTGTGCTGGGCTCTTTATCTGAGAAAAGGTTATCACCAAAGTGTGTGATTGTAATAGCCCAGCGCAGAGAGCAAATCTCTGCCTGTATCTAGACTAACTAATCCCAAGTCTGTGGAGAAGGCTTGTTTGGATGTAGAGGTAACATTGAATATACTTCCATGGGCGTGGGCGTGGGGTGGGGTGGCGGAGATATTTTGTTTAAGGCTGCTATTGCTGCTGAGAAAAGTTCCACATTTGGTTTCACACCATATTCTTTCTTCTTGACACAGGCTGTTAGCTATCAGCAGGGTCAAATCTAACAACTTGATCACACAGAAGACTTGATCCCCACTTTAGGATGGTCTTGGGCATTGGGGTGCAGCCTTCGATAGAGTCTAAGATCTCTCATGAACTTTTACTTCCACTTTTGCTTGCCGCGGCAATGGGAACCATCCAGCCCTGGTGAATGGCTGACGTTTTCTCCCCTTATGACTTTGATCTTTGGGCTTCCACTAAAAGGGGGCTGCATTTTAAGCTACATTTTAAACTCTATTCTAAGATACAGTGGTGCCCCGCAAGACGAACGCCTCGCAAGACGGAAAACCCGCTAGACAAAAGGGTTTTCCGTTTTGGAGGCGCTTCGCAAAACGAATTTCCCTATGGGCTTGCTTCGCAAGACGAAAGCCCATAGGGAAATCTCTGGGACAGCGGGGAAGCGCAGCGCGTCTTCCCCACTGTCCTCGGACCTCCTCCGAAGGCTGGCGGCGGGGCGGAGAGACCTCCTCCCGCCGCCAGCCTTCGTTTCTCCGCTATCCCGGACGGCTTTTGAAGGCAGGCGGGGGGGAGCAAAGACTTTTGCCCCCCACCGGCCTTCAGAAGAGGTCCAGGACCTCTTCTGAAGGCCGGCGGGGGGCAAAAGTCTTTGCTCCCCCCTGCCTGCCTTCCCGGGGGCTTTTAAATCGCCCCGGGACAGCGGAGAAGCCCTCCGCTGTCCCGGGGCTTTTTAAAATGCTGGCGGGCGGCAGCGGAGGCTTTGCTCCCGCCCGCCAGCATTTTAAGATCGCCCCGGACAGCGGAGAAGCCCTCCGCTGTCCCGGGGTTTTTAAAAATGCTGGCGGGCGGCAGCGGAGGCTTCGCTGCCACCCGCCAGCATTTTAAGATCGCCCCGGGACAGCGGAGAAGTCTCCGCTGTCCCGGGGTTTTTTAAAATGCTGGGGGTGGGAAGAAAAGCCCTTGTCCCCCCCCCAGCCTTCAGAAGAGGTCGGGGGACAGACTGTCCCCGGACCTGGTCTGAAGTCAATTTCCATAGGAACGCATTGATTGATTTTCAATGCATTCCTATGGGAAACCGTGCTTCTCAAGACGGAAAAATCGCAAGACGACAAAACTTGCGGAACGAATTAATTTCGTCTTGCGAGGCACCACTGTATTTTAATCAACTGGGCTTTTTTTGTTTTTAAAAAATGTTTTTACTGTATTTATATTCAGTGTTAGCCGCCCTGAGCCCGGTCTTGGCCATGGAGGGCGGGGTATAAATAAAAATTTATTGTTATTTTTTATTACTGCTTGGCCTGCTGTTGGGCAAAGCTGGCAAAACAGTGTCCGAGTGTCCAACCGGCCTGGGTGTCTGTACGGGTTTGGAGGCAGCAGACACTGGAGCATCTTCTGGGCTTGACTGACAGCCCAAAGCCTGCGCCCCAAGGGGGAAAAGCAGCAGCCATGGTACCCAGAGGGTTACTAGCCCTGTGAACTGGTCTCTGTGCCCTTCCGCCTGCAGGGAGAGGGGAGACACTGATAAACAGGAAGACAGACAGGTGTGCCGCAGAGGATTGTGGGGACAGGAAGGGGCGAGGAACAGTCAGCTTGCAGGGGAGGAAAAGGAGAGACCAGAGTATGTGCCAACCAAAATGTTGGCAGAAGGCTTCTACTAGCTCGTTTTCATTAAAGCTTTAAAGACACAGTATATCTGATGGGAGAGAACATCATAGTTCTATATGAAAATTCTAGTAGTAAACGGAAGGTACTTGAAGGCAGAATGCTATGGAATAACTTTAGATGAATGGTCCAATTGTTCCACTTCTCATGGAACTCCTGAAGCACACAGACCCAACCACAAAGTGCCGTAGGCAGAAGAAACTCAGTCTTTCCAGATGGCAATCAGCCTTGCTCAGCTTGGTGTGTTTGGCATGTCACTGGTGGGCGTAACTTGCCTTTGTGGAAGGCATATGCCTCACTCATTGGGTTTGAGACAGACCATGTTTTCAAGAGAGGTGGTTTGAAAGGGATTGCCGCTCATCCCACGGTTGCCTCTGCGAAAATAACATTTGCATGCTCTGCTATCATCCTTGATCAGAGATGGCAGATAATTGTGGTTGCCTTTCTCTGTCTACTTCCAGCGACAAGTGCATGCCTGACTCTAGTCCTAGTCAATATGTAGAGTGAGAAGGGGGGGGGATTATTTTTATATACCCTACAAACCTTGTAATGATCCTGCACTCGTTGCACCATTCTGGCTGGGTGCATAAAGGATGGTAATCCATGCACCAGATTTTGATGGGGATCTCTGCTTGTATAGCACCATGATTATGCTGTCATAAACTCACATTGGGGCATCTTCTCTAACTCAAGGACCAAAAACAGCAAACCGCACTGGCAGAGTGTTAGGCGTCAGCAGGGCATCACTGAGCCACTATACATTCCCTCAGAGCTCACTCCAGCAATGGCGTAACATTGTTTGATTATATTTTTAAAAGAAGCCCATGGAGAGCCAAGGCAACACGGCCTCCCATCTATTTCTGCTTTGCCTGCACAGCCACAAGGGAGGACAGAGTCCGGCATAAGCCACTGTTAGAGCAGGGAACAGGCCCAGGCCACCTTGTCCCACCCCTGATCTCTGAGCCTGCAAAGATGTTCTGCTAATGCATTATTCTGTATTCCTTTCTGAGAAACCTTCCAAGACCACACATCAGTGGTGGTTGGGGCCAACAGCTCCTTTCAGTTCTTCTCATTCATTCATTCATTCATTCATTTATTACATTTGTATACCACCCTATACCTGCAGGTCTCAGGGTGGTTTACGAAGGTCCACTGCATTACTGCCTTATGGAAACACATCATTCGGCTGTCAGCACTCTTCTCCAGTCCAGCCCAGCCCAGCCTCAAAGCAGCCCATGGGTTCCTGCTATTCACAGAGCCCTGGCAGGAAACCTATAGCAAGAGAGACTCTCCAGCAGCATGTAAACCACAGGCAGGAAACATGCAACTCAGGCTTTGCAGCATGTGGTGACACGAGTCTCCTCCGTAGAGAAGGTAGAGCCTGCAAGTGGGGGAGGGACTTGGTGGTGGGAAACCAAGTCAAAATAGCCAACATCTTCTCAGAGCTCCGAATGCCTATCCTGCCATCCTACCAGCTCCTATTTTAAGAATTGCCCTTTTGCTGATGCCGTTCAATAAAAGTTTGGGCAGCACCAGCCGTCCTCCTTGGTGCTCATCTTGTGTTCAAGATGGCAACCATCCCCAGGAAGAGGGTCTTGGTGCTACTTCCATAGAGTTTGGGCTCCCATGCATCTTAGCTTTTGCCCTTCCACCTGAGTTCCAGCATGGGCAGAATAGCTGGATCCTCACATCTCACGAGCTTTCCTGGTTGCTCATGGCATACTAAGCTATGCAGCAAGAAGAGTAGCAAATTAAGTCCTGCTGGCACAATAAGCAACAGGCACAAGAGATTTTAAGTTGTAGCTACTTTTTAATTTATGGGTTGCTTTTTTGCTAAAAGACTTCAAGTGGCTAACAAGCACTGGATTATTGGGGTGTGTGTGTGTGTGTGCAGGTAGCCTCCTTGCAGAAGGCTCAGCTGAGTCCTCCTGAGGCATCTAGAGTCAGGCCGGAGCTCGTGGGGCACTTAGTCCACTCCCCAGTCCTCCTGGCTCTGGCACCACCCTGTGTGTGTGCTGCTGGGACAGGGTGTCCCCTCCCTGCCCTTTGAGCCAGGAGACCACATCCAGGGTTCAAAGCTAGGACCTGCAGCTGCACGAATCTGTGCTGTGCTGCCAGACTAGAGCTCAGATTACCACCCCGCTTGGTCCTGAGAGGTGGCTGGCAGCCTGTGCTCTGGATGATTTCCGATGCCCCACAAGGTCTGCTTTTCCTGCCCACTCCTCTTGTTGCTGTATAGCGAGAGACCTGCTCTATGGAATGTGGCCTGGTCCTGCCTGCTCCCTTCCGTGCCTCCCGATGTGATGGTTGCTGGCCAGCCTTGGCTCACTCAAGCACCTCCCTCCAGTTTGCTATCTCAGCATGCTGACTTGTTGGGAGCCTCACAGCCTGCTTTGTGCTAACTCCCCATTGTAAAAAGTGTTCTCCCAGTAGAGCTTGAACCCTTTTCCAGGGAGGCCACAGCCTCTTCATGCATGTTCCCTGCCTCAAGGGAGTTATGCCTGGCAGAGGCGCAATGCTGAGGTTGCCTGTCAAGGGGGGGGGGCATAGCTGGGGGTAGATGGAGACGCGAACACCCATCCAGGGGATTCCTGGAACTTGTGCTGGCTGTGTGGAGGCTGCCCCAGGTGGGAGTCCATGATGCTTGTGTCTAAGAGGCAGTGCTTTCTGTATATGGTGGTGGTTTGTGTCATGGAAGTGTTCTGCTATAAATGTGGATGGTCGTCACACTCTGCATTGCGCTGCCGTGATTGTTGGAGTGGCCAACAGTGTTGCCATCAGTGCTGGGGGTACACCTGATCGTTTACCATGTTATTTCCACTTTACAGTGGTATTGTTTTTCTGACATCTTTGTTGCGAGGAGTGCAGAGGATCCCAACAAGAGTGTGCTGGCGTTACACTAAGATAAGCAGCTGTCAATGTCTGCAGCAGCAAAGGATATCTCTGCCCATGTATTAGGCACTTCAGCAAAAATTTCAAAAGCATTTAGGCTCTCACTAGAGTAAATAAGAAAACAGCTGGATAGGACAAAAGTTGTTGCCTCTCCCATGAATCATCATGCAATACAAAAGTCAGGGGGGTGTTCCCTTATCAACTTCTAGGAGACATCAAAGAGACAAGAAAGGCCTAGATGTGGTTTGGTTTGTAATAAGAGTGAGTAGAAGCAAACAAAGGAAGCTCATTTCATATTTGCACTTTGGAGGTCAGAAGTAAATAAAGAGGAGGAGAACCCCGAAGGAGCAAAGAGGGTGGGAAGGATTGCAGTCTGGGCTTCCAAAATAAATAAATCAGGCTGCCAGGAAAGCAGCCAGTACTGGGCTGGGAGGAAAATGCAGGCAGCAGAAGTCTGAAGAAACATTCAAGTTTTAAGGTGGGAAACCGAAAACAAAGGTCTACCAAGTAAGAGACAGAATTTGAACAAAAAATGAATAGGAAGCAAAACTGTATTTTGCTTTTTGCTCAAAAGGTCCATGTTTACAGTGTTTGTCTCTGAATGCATATCATGTTTGGGTACATTTTGCATGAGAACTGCTTCTGCTCCCTGCTCTGCTCTGTGCAGGCAGGCGTCAGGTATCTTGCATCTCAGCAGTGGGTGGAAGCTCTCTGAGGTTTTCTGGTGTCAGCCCAAGAGGCTTTTCAGTGGTGGGCGCAGGTGACGTCTGGGGACACAGCACAGGAAGAGAACCCTTCTCTGACGCAGCATCTGAGCTGAGGACTCCAGAGACATGGCTCTCCCCGCCATGCAGCAGAACCCGCACTGCATTTATCCCCAGGTCTTCTGGACAAGCAGCAGTGGAGTTTCCAACTCTGAGTGTGCCCCTTCAGGACTGTGTCCCATCAGGTTTGCGCCCCACCAGGACATCCGCCCTGCTCTGCCTGTGCCAGAGACCAAAAGGAAAAAGCAGAGCAAAAAGGATGGCACACGCCTGTGTTTCCTGGTGGTTTCTCTGCTGACCCTTCTGGCCCTCACTGGGGTTGGGCTTGCAATGTTTCAGATCTTCCGTCTGCAGCAGGAACTAGATGCTCTGAGAGAGGTAAATGGAGGCACAGAAATACCAGAGGAGACCTGCGAGTGGCACACACCACTTGGGGGAAGGGCACCCAGGGTCCCTGGATTGGCAGCTCCTGAAGATGGGGCCCTCCACGGAAAGGGCCACAGGGTGATTTTTATTCCCAAGTGTGAACGTCTGCCTTTTACCTCCACAGCTTTCCTGCTCTGGGCAGGTGCCTCAATCTCCTGAGATGCTCAAAGGTGAGAAGTCCTTGTCCAGGGATGGCCGGGGGGGGGGGAGCAGAGCCAAATGGGGGGTTGTGCCTGGGCTGCCCTGCCTGCATTTGCAGTTCTTATAAAGTTTATTTCATCTGGAATCACAGTCGCCTATTTCTAGAGCTTATTGTTCTTGCCACTGACTTAAAGAAACTTGGGCCACTTTGGATATCTTGGCTCATTACCTGAACAGTGAAATGTTGAATGAAATGGCTGCATTGAAGTCCCAGTCCATGCTAGTTGCAGATGGGCTTCTCTCTTTCTGTTATTTCTGTATCCCCAGAGCTTTTGCTGCTTTGGGGATTTCTGGACAGGTCTGTTTCATCTGCATCAGGCAGATGATACAGAGAGTGATTATAGAACACTTGAGAGCCATTTCTCTTACTGTCTGGCATATAATATTTTGATACAGTACTGTTTGTTGCTGTTCACAAGCTTTTAAACAGAAATGTATTGATTTCAAAATGGTTTCATCAGAAAAATATGTGGTCTGCTGGTGGTGCTGGGTGCCATCGGCCTGTGTTTGAAGTCCAGCTCTTGTGGGGGAGGTGGAGAGCATTCAGCTCTAGGGAGATGGGGACTTCTTCTTCCAACCAGCTAAGACCTGCAGGTGGGTGCATTTAAAGGCACTGCAAGAAAGCCCTCGGGGATCCACAGTGGATTTGGAGATGTGCCATTGTCCCAAACCAATCTGAAAACCAGAGAGCTGAGAAGTTTGAGAAAAACATTGGGCATGATCAATGGAAAATGTTGCTTCTGTGCTGATGCTGCATGTAAGGATCTCAGGGTATTTTCTGGGAAACAAATTAGTCCTGGGTTGGGGGAGCAGCCAGAAGGTAGAATAAGATATTTGAAAAGCAGTCTGAGATGTCTCATGGGAGGGGACTCAGGAATAAGTTCAGTCATAGGTGGCTGTGTGGGAAACAGCATCCAGTCCATAAACTGGTCTGCTGAGGGAAATGAAATGTTAAGGCGCTCATACCTCACCTCAAGGGCTGCCCACCCTAAAGCACAATTGCCTCTGAAAGAGGCAAGTTTAGCACTTGCGATCCCATTGATTTCAGGGCCAAAGGCCTGGGGGGTAAAGCCTACTATGGCACACAGTGGCATAATTCTCATTGAAATGGATGTGACCAAAATGTGCTTAACTTTGGCTGGATCACACCTCTCAATTTCTTCAGAGCTGACCTCATTGCTTCCCCTTTCCATTTCTTCTCTCTGTTGGAAAGGTATAATGCGTTACTTGCCTTATTCTCTATTGCAATATAGGATTTCTGAATGGAACAGCGGAAAAGGAAGTCAAGAGGAGAGCACACTTGACAGGTGGGCAGCAAAACGCAGAGCAAATAATCCTGCAAACAGCGAGGGCAAAAAAGAGCTGTAGCTGAGGAAACTAATGAACTGGCTGAATTGTACTTGGGAAACTGGTTTTCATAACCAAATCAGATACTTTGCTGTCTCTCAAAACTAATGGGAACAGGTCAAGGAAAGTGCCTGACTTAACCCTCTCTGCCCCTTCTCCCCCTGAATTTTTCTCCCATCTTGGACTGGGCAAAATGTCTGGAAAAGGGACTACAGGGGGAGAAGTGGAAGACTGGGAGATGCTTAAGCATTTCTCTTTGCACCAAATCACACATTTCTCTCCCACTGCTTTTGAGATGTTTGGAAGAGATAAGATTCTCTGGCTCTGGGCTGATGTCCTCATCCAGATGAGAGCACTCGGCCCTCAAGCTACATATCCTGTACTCTTAAGAGCTGCACAGAAGGACAAGTTTTACCAAGCATGACATTGGTCATTCTTTAACTGGGGTGGGTAGTTGCAATCTTCCATTTGCTGCTCTTCTGCTGCCGTCGCCTGTTTGTAGCATTGGAAGAGAGCCGGCCCAGCCATGAGGCAGGTGGCAGAAGCACAAGAGGCAACAACACCCTGCCTGCCCCATTGCTTCCGGTGTGTGGCGTTGCCTTGAGCAGAGAAGATGAGCAGCAATGGTTCCAGGTTCCAGGTTCTCAGTCAGCAGTGAGAACAACTGACATCCACACTGCAAAGAGCAAACCAGCAAATGGTATGGAGTAGCATCCTTCAGTGCTCTTCAGATTAGACATAAAGGTCATTTTGCTGTGTTCAAAAATATTAGGAAACCTTGCAATATAGTGGGGTCTGAGAAACTGCTTGTTGTCTGATTTTCACCATGACATTCCATGTTTCTAGGCAAAGCAAACCAGCGATCGCTCCCACTGGAATGGGAGAGTACCTATGGACATGCCTTCATTTCTGGTGTTCAGTATGAAAACAGGGGTTTGGTGATCGATGAAGCTGGCCTCTACTTTGTGTACTCCAAAGTGTTCTTCCGGGGTGGGGCCTGCACCCCCCAGCCTCTTGATCATGTGGTTTTCAAAAGAAACCCATCGTATCCTGATATCCAGGTGCTGATGGAGGACCGAAAGATGAGCTACTGTGTGGCCAGGCACATGTGGGGCAGAAGCAGCTATTTGGGTGCTTTGTTCAACCTTTCCAGGCAGGACAGCCTGTATGTGAGTGTCTCAGAAGTCACACTGGTGAATCCTGAGGAGTCAAAAACCTTCTTTGGCTTATATATGCTTTAGGGGTGGGTGGAAGATTAGCATTCATCATACAGGCTATGTGAAAATTCTGAGCAACATGAAAATGATCTGGGACAGCTGATGGACTGCAAACGTTGCTTCTCTAGAAAGCCCATCAGACTCCATGACTTCACTTTTTACACTGAGAAGTTCAAAAAAGGCCTGAAGTGGATCTTCACAGATTTAAACTGAGGGTCGACTTTTCCTGCTGGATTCCTTCAGAGACAAACAGCCTTGAACCACACATGACTTGCCAAAGAGTGCCAGGAAATCCTCCATTTGGGGAAAAGCAGGGATTTTGCGGCATAAAAACCTGTCCCTATTGACCAAATGTAACAGCCAAATTTGGATCCATATTTGAAGAGATGTTCTTTGGTTGTGTGGCAGCTGAGGTGTGAAGGGAGCAGAAATGTTTTCTGTTAGTTCCTAGTGTGTGACCGCCTAGCTGCTAGTCTGGTTCCATCCAGCGTTTATGTCCTGTGCTGCAGCTTCCCAGTGAAGGCCTATTGGGTTGCTGTCATTCATCAGTCACACTTTTAAAACTCCCCCAGTGCCAGAAATGTAAGCTACTCTTTTTCAGCCTACCTCTTTGGCTCTAGAGGTAGCCAACTCTCAACGAAAAAACAAAACCCACTTTCCCACTTCTCTCTGTGCTCGGAGGCAGGTGAAGAGGCAGCTCCTTGAGCCCCACAAAGCACTGTGGATCACTGGCACCATCCTCAGCATCCCTGATTCCCAGCGCCGCCTGAGCAGTTCCGACAGTCTTGTGAATGTGATGTAAGATGAAGCACTTTCAGATGAGCGTGGTCATGAAACTTCAAATGAAACTAATTCCTATGCATTTTCCTCAACTCTGTGGGAAAATTTAGAATGATTTTTGTTTGGAGAGAAATTAAAGAAGTTAAAATATTCTGGCAGGTGAATACTCTCAATGTTTTGGGATCTCTTCAGTGGAGGGGGGCATTATTCACAACCCAGAAAGTAACATGGAGATGAATATGTGGGGAACTTGGGGTAGTTTGAGACTATCACTGTTTTTGGCTGGGATTCAGTCACATACTGGCAAATTCAGGTTGCACAGCTATAGTTGATTAGGAGCTCTTGCACAACAACCCTGTTTCCTCAAAATATTTTAAATTATGGCGCACATTAAGCAGAGTGACAAGCAAATGTAGTGGAATGTGTGGAATAACAATTGTTTTGATGCAATGTCATCTAGCCTCCCCACAAACAAATTGGACTGAATGCTCATTTAATAGCCAACTGTGTCTATTCTGAGCTGGGAAAGGGATAGGAGGGCTGTGCCTCTGCAAGGCCTGGCTCATGAATGGAAAACTGTGGACACCACCCAGGCGAGGGCCGAGGGCTTCACTGTGCAGGAACTAGCATTTGCTTGCTTCTGGGAATTGCATTTCTTTGAACGACAGCAGAGAGATGCCAGTTTCTGACCTCAGTCTGCAAGAATCGGCTCACTCTGGTTTAGTTTCTCAGTAAGCTTGGTTTCTCAGGAAATGGGGCCTTTGGTCAGGAGACCTTTCCTTCTGTTGCAGAACTTTCCGTCTGCTGAAAAGCGCACCACAACGCTGTACATACAGTGGTACCTTGGGTTACAGACGCTTACGGTTACATACGCTTCAGGTTACAGACTCCGCTAACTCAGAAATATTACCTCGGGTTAAGAACTTTACTTCAGGATGAGAACAGAAATCATGCAGCAGCGGCACGGCGGCAGCGGGAGGCCCCATTAGCTAAAGTGGTGCTTTGGGTTAAGAACAGTTTCGAGTTAAGAGCGGACCTCCGGAACGAATTAAGTTCTTAACCTGAGGTACCACTGTATTTGCATCTCATCGTCTGGTCTAGGTGGATTGGAAGCATTAATAAGAAAGAAATGCCCACTTGAAAGCCCTGGCTGGGACTTACTTATTCTAGAGCTGGTTTCAAGGAAATCTGGTGGTTGGACTATAGCCTTGGACCTGGAGACTAAATGTTTCTCTTCTAAATTTGGCTTTCTTGCCCATTTATTAAAAGCAGCTCTTCTTGGAATATGTAAGCATTTTAGCCAGATCTTCCTTGTAGACTTTGGTGCTGTGTGAGGTAAACTTTAATTATGAATCGGTCACAAAAGGACAACCCTTAACCAGGCTGTGAAATTATTGAGAGAGAAATTAACTCTCTGACTGAGCACGGCCAGCTCACTTTCTGATGCCAAGTCGGCTGTTTCAAACACCTAAGCCCAAATTTGTTAAAGTACAAACCATTACAAGTAGTATCTTTTGATGTGGCAAAAGACATGATGTAACCTTAGTGTCAATGAGAGTCTGACTTGAAAGGGCTAATTTTAGTCAAAAGAGTAGTTCCGAATGCTGAGAGAGAGAGAGAGAGAGAACACACCACCACCACTTTGCAGCCCCTTCAAGCATCTGGGAAGCAGAGAAGAAGAAGAGTTTGGATTTGATATCCCGCCTTTCACTCCCCTTCAGGAGTCTCAAAGCGGCTCACATTCTCCTTTCCCTTCCTCCCCCACAACAAACACTCTGTGAGGTGAGTGGGGCTGAGAGACTTCAGAGAAGTGTGACTGGTCCAAGGTCACCCAGCAGCTGCAGGTGGAGGAGCGGAGACGCGAACCCGGTTCCCCAGATTACAAGTCCACCGCTCTTAACCACTACACCACACTGGCTCTCCAGGGGTTGCAGGTGCTTTCCCAAGGTTTGGTTTCCCTGAAATAAGGGACAGCGGAGACTGTGGTGTCTTTAGGATATACAATTTTTTTTACATATCCACAAGCTGGGCCTATGATGGAGGGGCTGCACCATTTCAGTCTGCCGTGTGGGCTTCACATTTTTAACACACGTCTACAAACAACTACTTCCCTCCAAGGGAAAGGCAAAGGCTGACCTCTGTGCCTGATGTGCTAGACTTTTCTTCTGCTTTGACTTGCACTAGGAAAGAGTTGCTGGGGGGGGGGGAGCCTGCAACTTTCCCCTGTGGCCTGAAGCGGCATCACATCACCTCATTCTGTTAGCCATGTCAACTAGCCCTTGAACATTTCACCTGTGGCTGCAGTCTGGGGTGAATATATTTTTGCCCCCACACAAAAAGAAAAATATCTGAGTGGAGCCAGATGCCAGGGGTTGCAGGTGCTTTCCCAAGGTTTGGTTTCCCTGAAATAAGGGACAGCGGAGACTGTGGTGTCTTTAGGATATACAATTTATTTATACATATCCACAAGCTGGGCCTATGATGGAGGGGCTCACAGCATTAACACCCCAGAAGGCTGTGCTTTCCCCATAGCCACAGCCTTGGATTCAAGCAGAAATCAAGCCTGTCTCTCCCTCTTAGGCTTCAGCCTGCAGCCTGCTTCTAGCTCTCACACACAACTCTGGCGTTTTGTCCTTCTAACTCCAAGCTAGTTGGGGGGCAGGGCACCTATTTGATCTCTGGCACAGAGCCAATTCCTTTGTTAGCTTAGTGACATATAGTTAGAGGGTCAATACCAAGAAGCTGGCCTGGCTATTCCAGCAATTGAATCCTTGCTGGATCCAGGGATTAGAAGGGACTCCGGCACACCCCAAACTCACAACAATATCTTTATAGCGTATGGGATGCTTTTCCAGGAAGCACATCTGCCTCCCCAAAAAGAAAACAAGGCATTGCCACAGCATCCCTTGCCTATCATTTCAGATAGTTGGGTCTGGAGCCCTTTGTTAGAGGATGGGAGATCACATTTAGCTAGCGCACTGGTCTCTTATACAAACGCAGGCAGCCGACAAGACTTTGAGGAGCCGCCTTGTGACTAACTCTACAGCTCTAGACTGACAAGGAGGAAGATCTGAGATGAGATGCAACCAAGGCAAGGATTCCCACCCTCTCATGCCCAAGTCCCACCCTAATGTTGCAAGCAGGAGGGGAGCCATCTGCCCCATGTTTTGTGCAGGAACTCTTTGCCCCAGAAAAGAAAGGGTTAAGCACACACACACACACACACACACGCTGCAGTTTGCACTTCCGGAAACTGCCTCACACCCTAAGTAGGCAAGTCTAAGCCAGAGGGAGCTTTGTGGCCTGCATGACACACTTCACACCTCTCGATAGGAAACTCTGCCACATCAAATAGATCTTGTTACGCTCCTCTGAGGGGCAAAGAGCCCCTGCTTTCATACTTGCGGGCAAAAGACGTCAGAAACAGAGTTACATCCTTCATGTGCTATTTATCAAGCCCCTTGCATCTCTCTTTTGGCACCAGAGAATGAATTTCCCAGTTGCTGGAAGATTCTGCAAACCTACCCCCAAAGTGGGGAGACTGTGGCTCACCCCACGGAGGAGCCTCGAAGGGCAGAGCCTCTCCAGAGCTGGAGGGCCGCACCCTGCACTCATCTCACAAGCTGCCCAGGAAGTGGCATTTGTGATACTATCCTACACGTCAGTTAAAAACGAGAGAGTACTGCTATGGCTCTTATAGCAGGATGTCTGTAAAGTAATCCAATAAATTATTGATATCCATGCTGCAACAGAGCCCTGATCACTATAATACAAGAAGGTCGGGTAATGGAAGGAAATGTCAAGGGGTTTCATAAGATGTGCACTCTTGTTCAAGATGGCTGCCAGGAAGGTGGTCCTGTGTAGGGGGCTACAGCCCAGGGATTATGTCTCCTCTGTTCTGCCCATGTCACGACTCAGGTCCCCTCCCCTATCTCACTGTATAATAACTTTATTTCGTTGGAGCCCAGTAAAAGCAATTGTCTTTTTTAAAAAAGCAAATTCCCGTGTCCTTCCGCACGCAGAACAGGCTGAACTGGAGGTTTCCCTTGGGGCGGGTGTGCCTTAGAGAGAGGCAATACTGAGCTCTTTGCAGCAAGCTCTGCCTGGGTGGTGCGCATCCTGCCTGCTCCTCCTCCATGTCCTCTGGAGGGGCTGCTCTTTCCTAAGCGGGATTTGAAGTTGAACAGGCTTGCTGTCAAACAGGATGGTTCCTTCAGACAAAGGAAAATGGAGGTTTCCTGCTGTATTCTGGCAGGTGTTTGGGGATATTGATGTCAGTAGTTGCTGCCGTTCTTGTTTGCCTTTTCGCTTCAGCACTGCTCTGCTGCCAGTCCCCGCAGCTTAACGCTCAGCTTGATCCACTCAGGCTCCTGTGATTTGAATGGGGGACCCCTCCCCACTTTGTCCGCAACACCCTCCTGCTCACTGTCTGCCAGCATCTGCTTCAGATTTACATCAACAGCAAACCCAACCTGAATTGCCAGGTTTCAGCAGACATGGCTCTTGCTAAGTTGTCCCAGGCCCAGCTGCTCCCAGCTCCAGCCGGCTCTGCTCCATGGAAGCGAGTCGTGCTTCAGCCGCTGCACAGCATAAAATGAAAAGTCAGGACACAAGCCGGGAAGTGGGCTGCCATGGGCTGGTCGGTTTGCTCTGGGCTTCCAGGGAGGGACTTAATACGGCAAACAGGTCACTGGAATTTTGAAAGCCACATTGGAAACAGCTTTGCATACTTACTGGATTTTCCCCAGAAAGGGAAAACCTGGATTACATGGAAATGAGGGGTAAAGCCTGGCATTTTGATTCCAAGAGGCAGGGGCGCCATCTAGGGGGGCCAGGGGGCTGAGGACCCCCAAATTTTCAAGGAGGGTCCAGGCCCCCTCAATATTCCGCAGCTGCAATGGTCGGAACCCGTCACCTGGACCCTGCAAAAACAAAAAGCCTGATCCTTGTTTTTACACGTTAAGCCATGCTTCACTCAAACACACAGACAGCCTCTCCTCTGCAATTCTCTTTCTTTCTTTCTTTCTTTCTTTCTTTCTTTCTTTCTTTCTTTCTTTCTTTCCTTCCTTCCTTCCTTCCTTCCTTCCTTCCTTCCTTCCTTCCTTCCTTCCTTCCTTCCTTCCAAG